CCCCGCCCCTACCAGCCCCCACCCCCAAAAAAAAATTTAGTTTGTTTTTAAAAAATATTTTCAATTTCAAAAATTATTTTCTACTCTAGTAAAAATAAAACATATTTCTCAAAAATATTTTTTTATTCATAAATAAAACACTAAAAATCTTTTTCGAAAAATATTTTCTACTCATCAACCAAACATGAGAAAATAAGTCAAAAATCAACTTGTTTTCCAAGAAAACATTTTCCTTCGTACCAAACACACCCATAAACTTTATGTTTAATTTTTTTTTTTAAATGACTACTCCTAAATCCTAGTTGATAAAACCTTGACAATACATTCATGGATTGAACAGTCATCTATGGCAGTTTCACACAAGGCAAAATGTCTACAAATAGACACAACCAAGGGAAAAAAAGAGTTGAGAGTCTGTCAGACAGCCATTAGACCATCCCAGCACCATAGTTGGAGCTGAGAACGATCCTCTACGGCTCCATGACCCATTGAGCCACAGAGATTGTTAATCACGCTCTAGTCTAATGGCCACGTCTCATCAACCAGACTTGGTTTCCTGTCTCCTTAGAAATCAAGGATACAGTGGTACGAGCCTATAGAACAGATCCTGTTCAAGTAAGGTCGTGATATTGTATATCCATACTCAACATTAATAACAGTTCCTCACTGCAGTGTTTAACCGATGTGGGATAAACGGACAGCATAGTTGTTGTTTTTAAAGAATTAATTTGGGCCCCTGGAGAAAACTAAGCACAAAATTAAATAAGAGAAAAATCTTTATTTGAATTCTACTCTTAAATGTTGTACCTTAAAAATTGCACTTTTATTTTCTCTTTGCAAATCCATATTTTTGTCGAAAAATTATCCTATATAGTTAATAATTTAATTTTATGTATATATGCAATAGGTTGACTCCCCTAATTTTTGGTTTTACTCGTATCTTTCTTTTAATTAATATTTTGACGCGTCCTTCATGATGAAAAGATTTGAGAGGGAAGAAAGTTTGTGTTAAATGGGTTGTCGAAACTGCAGATTAGCTGTTTGATAAAACGCCCAACAGAACAATATTTTTTCTCCTATGTTGCCTGTATTTTTCATTTTGGTTTCTGCTTGGTACTTGTTGCTCGATGGGAGGTGATAAATATTCCTAGATATTAGTCAAGGTGCTCGCAAGATAGCCCCGGACACTACACTTACACTGAGTTTGATGGTAAATATTTTTCACCGGACAAAAATTTTTTTGACACATTCCCAAGAAAAAACATTTTCTGTTGCTTAACTTAAGCCAATGAGGAAGCTCATTCTGTGTCAGCAATAAAAGTACAGTGTACTGCAAATGAAGCAAAAGTTGAAGTTGGTAGCACTGAAAAATGTAGAGTTCCATAAAAGATTTCCTTTGGCAATTCTTGGCCACTCAAAAATGCCAAATCACACACACAAAAAAAGCTATTCATCTACAAAATTGGCCCACTTAATCACCAGCCCCATGATCCTTCCACATATCTACAACTTTTCACTAGGGGATATCAAGATTTTGCTAAAATTTCAAAAAAAAGTCCTCTTGCTATGGAGGCTCTCAATGCAGCAAGATTAAACCCTGTTTCAGTTTTTTCTGATAGAAGAAATGAATCCAAAAAAATCCCATCTTTCCAATTCAAGAACCTTCAAAATTCATCCAATTTTAGCACCAACTTGTCAAGATCAGTAGAGGGTATATCAAGAAATGTTCAAGGGGGTTTAGTTTTACTTTCCTCTGTTTTCACTACAGGTTTAGCTAAAGCATTGACATACGAGGAAGCACTTCAGCAATCAACTACTAGTACTAGTACTAATGATTTTGATGCAAATGCATTTGTTGAAACCTTGACTGATTTCGTATCAGATAATCCTTTAGTTATAGCTGGTGGTTTTGCTGTTTTGGGTTTACCATTTATTGTGTCTCAGGTGTTTGGTAAAATGCCTAAGCCATCATGGGGTGTTGAGTCTGCTAAGAAAGCTTATGCAAAATTGGCAGATGATGCGAGTTCAGAGTTAGTAGATATACGAACCACTGTTGAATTGAAACAAGAGGGGAATCCAGATATAAGTGGTTTCAAGAAGAAGCCAGTTACAATTGTATATAAAGGTGAAGATAAGACAGGGTTCTTGAATAAGCTAGCTTTGAAGTTTAAGGAGCCAGAAAATACCACATTGTTCATTCTAGACAAGTAAGATTTCAAAATTATTCTTATGTTGATTGTGTACGTAGAGTGTTGTGTTTTTGAAGGTATAATTAAGTAGGTAAAAGTGTGTACTCTCTGACAACTTAAACTTTTAGTTAGAGTGATCACACACTTCAATATGGTTTCATAGCAAAAAGAGGTCCTTTGTTCAAGGAACTTGGTCTAAGAAAGAGAGTCACAGCCGCACGTGAAGGGGTGCGTGTTGAAGACGTAATTAAGTAACTAAAGGTGTGATCATTCTAATCATTAAAGTTTTTAGATGAGATGGTTGCACACTTTAACAATATGTTTATCTTTTTGGAATCTTAGTGCTACCTGGCGCAAGTTGTCCCTTAAAACTGAACTAGACAAAGAATCATGTGCTTACATTCTTTAACCAATCAGGGGCCGTTTGGTAGAGTATATAAGGATAGTGATGGTGTATTAGTAATGCTGGTATTAGTTATGCTTGCATTAGTTTTACTGAGATTATTTCTTATGTAGTGTTTAGTGTGGTATATTAAAAATAACATGCATTGCATAATTTCTAAAAAATAATTTGTTTACAAAAATAGACTCCACAAATATGCTTGTATCAGCCAACTTGTTGAACGAATTAACTCTAATCCTTTTTCTTTCTGGATTGTAATGAAGCCAGATTTGATGGAAACTCTGAACTGGTTGCAGAGCTTGTCACAGCAAATGGTTTTAAATCTGCATATGCAATTAAAGATGGTGCTGAAGGTCCCCGAGGATGGAAGGTTATACTCAAAAATATTGTTATCTTTCTGAATTTCCTAGAATGTTGGTGGCGTGAAGCATACTGAATTCCAATTTCTGCAGAATAGTGGCCTCCCTTGGATACTTCCTAAGAAAACATTTAGTCTTGATCTGGGCCTGTCTGATGCTCTTGATGGTCTTTTTGGGGTATGTTTTTCTCTCTTAAAGCACTGTTACTTTGCATTTGACCTCCCAAATACAGATATGGTTATGCCATTTGAGTCCAAGAAGTTTATGGGGTTTCTGTAACTGCAAATTGGTAAAATGTAATGTTTGGAGTCTATAAACTCATCGAAGGAAAAGGCATGGTAAATATGCATGCAATAGGAGTGACGTTGATGTAGGATGTCACGGCAGAATTTAATGAGTTGACATCTCACTTCCTGGGATTTTCAATGCATACAACTTCTGTTTTTCCTAATTGCACAAAAAATGCCAAAAGTTCATGGTCGTATTGACTATAACCTGGCCTCTTAGCTATGGTTTTCTATAGAAGTCCTACCATATAATAGGAGTGGACAAATCAAGATTTTCTTTTTCTATTTTAAAATGCAAGGAACAGTTGTACATTTCTGTTTTGTAGATTTTCTGCACTTTAACTCCGCAATCCTTATATAACAATTCCTAGGTGAATGGTTTTGGGATGACAGATACAGGTAACACCTAACATCCCTTTAAAACAAATGATAGATATAAGTGACATATCACATTTTTATTTAAGAGACTACTCAACTTGCATTTTATCAAAATCCACTTGGCTATATGTTGAAAACTACTAGTCTACTGCTACTGTTGGCGTAACATTTTGACTTAACTGAGATAACTTTGGTGGAATGTGGATATGCAGGACGGTTCTGATTCTGTCGCTGTAGGTTTGGGTGTTGCCGCAGCTGCTGCATTTGGACTCTTGGTGTTCTCAGAGGTCGGGCTCCAATATATCTTATCTTGAACATTATATTGAGCACAATTTGTTAGAAAGCTCACCATTGGTCCTTTTTATCAGGCGGAAACATTACTTCAACTGTTAGGTTCAGCTGGACTTATCCAACTAGTCAGAACAAAACTTCTATTTGCAGAGGTAAGTCAGCACCATTTACAATGTATCCTTTTCTTGCCTCGAAAGGGATATCAGAAATGTAGTCCTGCCGATCTGGCCATTAGCTGCACTCATCTATCTTGCATTGCTCGTTTCTTTTACCTGATGAGTTTCTTATCCTTTTTTCAGTAACAAATATATCCTTCAACTGTAATAAGATCTTGAATCTAAAATTGTGTTTTCTGAAGACCACTTGAAGGCTCAAATTATAACATGTAAAAGAAATATCAACAACAGCAACAACAACATACCCAGTAAAATCCCATGGATGGGGTCTGGGGAGGGTGGAGTGTACGTAGACCTTACCCCTACCTCGTGGTGGTAAAGAGGCCGTTTCCAAAAGACCCTAAGCCAGGTAACACATATCAAAGCAGATATAAAAAGAGAAAAAAGAAGCGGCTCAGGTAACACATATCAAAGCAGATTTCAAAGGAGAAAACAGAATTAATGAAGACATCACAAATAATAGGGGAAGTATTCTAAAACATACAGAGAAAAGGAACAGTAGCGGGTAGCCACAACAAAATAAAATGACAGCCAAAACACAATAAACTACACGTAGTAATAGAAATTGAGTAACAAGAAACAACAAGAATAGTGCTAATACTACTGGTATGCAAGGAGAAGCCTATCTCGCTGGATAACGAGACGACACTCAACTACCTACTAACCTACCACCCTAATTTGTGACCTACGTAACTTCCATGAAAGATATATCATTTGATTTTTTAATTTTACTTCTAAAACTGCTTTGTTTTATGATAGAAGGTGAATCCAATTTTACTAGCGACTGGCCTCTATGGTTTCCACAAGTTACTTAACATTGATACTGATCACTGTAGAAACTTTTTGAACTTGAGAGGTCCACTAATATGTTGGACATTTTCACTTTCCAGGACAGAAAGCAAAGTCTGCAACAAGTTGATGAGTTCCTCACCAAAGAGATTGCTCCAAAGGAGCTTGTAGGTGACATTAAGGTAATGTGCTCATAAGTTCAGAACTTACTAAAGTGTTTTGCTTGCCATATCAGAGAACTGTATGTTTGCTTTCGACAAGATATATACTTCATAGTCACAGTTTCATTAATCATGTAACTAAGCTTCTCACCTTGAAACTTCAGCAAATAGGGCTGGCTCTTCTTCCTGTTCCAGTGACTAGAAAAAATCTGCCTGAATCTGCAGAGACAAGTGAATCAGTTCCCGAGGTGGATGCTGCATCATCTAAAGTAGAAGCATCCGTCGAGACACTTTCACCATATCCTAATGTAAGTTTCCTTTTCATCCTGAATAGTTAGTTTGATCATTTCATTATGATTTGTGTAGTGGCCTGTCCATAACACGAGTCACTAGCTCGTCCTTACCAACCTTCACCGTATAAACCTCATGCCCAGACCTATCTACGTTATATGATCCACTTCAAGGCTCATAGCAAAAGAATGTTAGTTGTTCACACCGAGCCATCAATGGTTGCCATCATCTCTTTCTAATGTGTTGATGCAGTATCCTGATCTCAAGCCTCCAACGTCACCGATACCTTCACAACCTAATGGCAGTGTGGGGAAAGCTGAAACAGTTTCCAAGGTAGAAGTATCTGCCGAGTCTACTCCAGAAATCAGTTCAGCTCCAAAACCAGAAGTAACAGCAGAAGCACTAACTGGAATTACAAGGCCACTTTCTCCATATCCCAATGTAAGTTTCTCTTTATCGCAATAGTTGGTCCCATCATTTCACTATATCAGGATCAATCGAGAATGATCTCATTTAAATTCTGAGATTGTGGTATTATATTGCTGAATGGACTAATTCAATTACTTGTGATTTGTCTCTGGGACATCCACATCCCGTGCTGTTGTCATCTCATTCATATTAACATCTGTACACTGGTCATCTAAAAGATAACTTCATGTAACCGTTCATTAAAGTTGGGAGTAACGACCTAAAAACTAAGCAGGCTACCTGCTGCAACACGATAAAACGTACACTGATAATGTAAAAAAAGTTTATACTGTTAGTATATATAAGTTAAATCATTTCTTTATTTTGGTTGCAGTATCCTGATCTCAAGCCTCCGACTTCGCCAATGCCTACGCAAGCATAATGTTGGACTTGCAGATTTCCATATCCAAGGTGTATCACCTCCACAATTGCCATTTTTTGTAAAAATTGAAGGAAAGTTTGTAACAATATTTCCATTCTTTGTAATTTATTGATGAATGTCATCATGTTTTGTAGATAGATATGGTGTAGAAGCTTTGTGTGACTTAAGCAATACAATCACTTCTAAGCAAAACCATAGCAATATATTAATAGGAATGAAAAACATTAGAATCATTAAACCTTGAATTTCTTTTAATCCCTCAAATATCTGAAGTTTACTCACCTAACTAATTTAGATCCACGTCACATAAGTCCACTAAAGGGTTCAAAGTGTGTTCCCAATTGAGTTCTCCATTCCTAAGGTTTTGACCTAACACCTTTGGTTTAGAACGGAAAACTCTCTGTCATTTCACCACACTCCTTTATACTAAACTCTAAACCTTAAACTAGTTTATTTTTTGCATATGTGTATTTAACGCATTATAGTCCAATTAACGAAACTAAGTAAACGGAAATAGGAATTTAACATAGGGTTATTAATTCTAAAGTCACTTTTATATATAATTAAATTAAGGATAAAAATGTGCAGATCCTTTTGCGATAGGTAGATTAAAGAAACAATTAGAAAATTGTTAAATCAATAACCTGACACTAATATTTGTTTTGATTTTTTATTTATCAGTTAAATTGAAATTTGCACACCCTAGTACAAATAATGAAACACCTTATGTAACATAAAAAGATCGTTAGACTAATAAATTTAGTTATCTAGAATCTGTAAAAAAAAATAGAGGGTGGAGTAGGGGTGGTGGCATATAGGATCAAAGGAGTTCATTCGATTTTTTTTGTGAAAATATATACCCTTTTATACATATTTTTTTTAAAAAAAAATTATATATATAAAATAAATGTTGAACCTCTCTCAATTTTTTTCTTACTTTTTCATATTTTGAACCTCTTAATAAAATATTTGACTATGCAAAGGGCATTAAAAACTAATTTGAGATATAATTGGGAGTAGGGGTACGTAAAAATCGACTTAACCAATAAATCAAATAAAAAAAATACTATTAGTTTATTAGTATTAGATTATTGGGTTAACAATTTTTAAACTAATTTGTAAATTTTTTTAATGGGTCGATCGGTTTTATAATTTTGGTTAATGGTTAAATCAATAACCAAAATTATAGTGAATACCAATGCTATTTCTTAAATTTTAGTATTACTTTCCACCGTATGCAACACATGTTAGACTCTTTACTTCTCTATTATGTCACATTTTCTCTTTTTGCACAAAATAGTATTACCTTCTCTTTTCTCAGTTTTAGTTTTGATTGTGAAAAATGACAGACACTCAATGTTGTTTTCGTAATTTTTTGTATGAGACTTTAAAAGGAATTCGAACAATTATGTCTTAACCAAAAGAGATAAGTGTATTTTTGTGTTGCACTTATATTCTTGCTATCATGTCTATGATTAGATGAGCATTTATTTATCGGTTAAATTGAAAATCAAATCATTAAAAACCAAAACTAATTAATCAAAATTCGTTAAGAAATATCTTATTGATTTAGTTATTAATCAATTTAACGTGTTTACAAACTATAAATTAATAAATTAAATTAATAATATTTAAAATTGAACCAAACCGACTAACGGCATCCTAATTGGAAGTACAATTAACTTGCCACTATGATAGACTAAATTTTTTCTGCCTCTATAAGTAAAAAGTGTCAAAATGACATAACATAACCTTATATAAAGTGTCTAAAATAAATATCACATAATTAATATGTCTAAGTGAAATATGATGCCAATTTTAGGGATCGCCGATGAGCTAGACCCTTTTTTATGAATAAATTATAAGAAAGAACGCAAGAACTCCATTTATTCCATATATCCCCTTTAATTTAGGTGAAAAGGTGACATGAGAATAATAGGATAAAGTGAACCAATCAAGTGGAATCTTCCTCGTGATTTCTAACCTTTGAAATAAATGGAATTATTTATTTTATAGGATAAAAGCTGAAATGTTTGTTAATCTGGGTGCACACAAAGTGCTTATATCCAAAGGATAAAGGCTATGACAGAAATTATAGTATTGTGGGTTATTTTGAAATTTATCATGAAATTATTTATTACTTAATTCCTAGTTTATTCTTATTATTAACTAAAGTCCTCTTTCAATGCATTGAAGTTATTATATTCAATAAGTGATATAGTAAAATTGTCATTCTATTTTATTTATTTATTTAAAAAATGTGTCAAATTAATACTGAACAAGTAACAATAAAGAAAGAAAATAAATAAAAAGCTATCTTTTTAGGGGGAGGGGGGTGGAGGAGATAAAAAAAAATGTCACATAAAATGTGAGAAATTGATGATTTTGTTGAAACTTCCGTGCAATTATCCCAAGTCACACTAATTGATAATTCAAATTATTTAAAAGATGCATGAAAAATAATGATTAAAAATAAAGGGTAATGCTAAATGGCCAGAATTTGGTCAAAAAATTTAAAAGTCTATAGTATCCTTTTTATTTTTAAATAAATTGTTCTTTTTTCCATTTTTTAATTAAAATGTATGAAAGTTAAAAGGGTAAAAATGTTTAAAAAGGTAAAATAAAATAGTGTGAAATATGTTATTTTACCATTCTGGCCAAAAAGATTTTTCAAAAATAAACTTGTTTAAATTTTGAAATTTGAAAGGTGACACATAAATTAAAACGGAGTGAGTATTATTTGTTTCCTATTTCATATTCATGTTGACAATATAAAACTAAATGAAACAAGTAAGAATGACTATATGTTGAATTGGACATATGAGGATCTCATTGTTTCATAAATGAGAAACGTGGTTAGCAAGAACTTTTATAATTGATTTAAATTTCTTTTGATAAACAGTGTGTATAACGAATGAATTATTTTCTGCATTTAAGTGATGAGACTTTTGGGAATTATATTTTGTCCTCAAGTGGTCTTGAGTGATGTGCCTATACATGAGCAGAAATTATTAATTTTGTTCATTTTTACTTGTTTATTTTATATTTTGTATGCTTTTTATGAAATAATTATCAATATGTGTATTTAATCATAATATTTATACTAATTGATGTATAGTCTAGAATCTTGAAAAATGAATTAGAGAATAAGTAAATACTACTAAGAATTAAATAGATTTTTTTAGTATATATTAAAAATGACAAATAAAAATAAAAAATATTTTCAAAATAATGTACAAGTGAATAGAGGGAGTGTTTCATGACCTTGGGTGCAACTTCTAGGAAACAATTAAAAAATCAGTATATATTTCCTTTAAATTCTAATGCTCTGTTGAAAAATGTCACCTACATCATTTTTTAGATTTTTGACAATTTCCTTATTACATTGATGATTTTTTTTTTTTTGGACCCAAACTCATATTTTTTGTACCAACTTATGTTTATAAGCATTTTTAAGTGACTTAATTTAGGGGGATATGATAGACCCGAATTTCCTCCATTAATATAAAATAGTCAGTTAAATGTTTAAACTATACGAAAGTTTTATTGTTTTTATTAATTATTTTTTTCGTATTATTTAATTTATATTTTTACATTATGCGAGGGTTTCAGTTAGAGCTGTCAATATGGGTTGGCCTACCCCATCCGGGCTAATCCATACAGGCTTTGAAATTTAACGAGTCAGGCCGGGCTAGCCCATTTTTGAGTGGGCCAGAAAATTGTTGGCCCAGCCCACAAGTACGTGGGCTACGGGCTTTGCCGGGCCAACCCTTTTTTTCTTAAAAATATATTTTTTATATTTTTTAAATTAAATTATAATTTAAAAATATTATTATAAATATCGACAAGACAATATTACATGTTGTTAATGTTACTACTTGTTAATCAAATACACAAATAAAATTATTTTATAATATTTATTAAGTTTGATTTCAAGTAAAAGCATAAATAGCTAAATAGAAATATCAAAATAATTGTTTTCCAATGATTATAATAAAACACAAAAGCTTTGACAATATTCCATAGGCTATGGCCTATGTAGTGATTTCCTAGAAATTTTAGGGAATTTTTTTTAAGTAGTACATATTTTATAAACATAATTTGTATTTAAATTATAATATTTCAAACTTTAAACAGATTTTGAGTTTAGACTCTTATTATTTTTAATACTCTATTTTATTTTTATTTGGCCCACGAGCTGGCCCTATCCATATTTTTCAAACCCCACAAATCAGCAGATTTATTCAGGCCGGGCTAAAAGCCCTTTTCTTAAATGGGCTCCAAAAATCGTTGTTCATTCCTATCAAATCACGGGTTAGACCAGACCGATCCAACGGGCCTAGCCCATATTGACGACTCTAGTTTTAGTGAGGTGCCATCATTTCAATTTTCAAGAGAGAATTGAAAAAAAAAAAAGAGTTTTTCCTTTGTTAAGAAAAATTTGTGTGATTAGTATTAGAGTCAAAATTTAAAGACTTTCATTTTTTTTTAAAAAGAGTCCAAAAATAATAATTTAACACCATTTTGTTTTATCTTTTACAAGGTGTTTGTTTTTAAAGTTTTCTCATATTTAATTGATCAATATATTTTCTCCAACAAAGCGTTAAAAAAATAAGTTTTATAAATCACACTTCATGCTGATTTCTTGTTTTTCATCCCAACAATCTACATCCAACCCGTCCCACACTAGCCTTCCCTTGTCCTCGTTCCCCGGTCCCCATCCCCCTATACTCTTGGACACATCCTCCCCCATTAATATTCATCGTATTTATTAAAATTATATTAAATACTTTTGAGATAGTATTGTTTTAACATATTTATCAAATATAAAAAAAATAAGTAAAAAATCATACACTAACCTATCATCAACGTCATATCACTCTTCCCTTTGTCAAAGGCAACAACGTGGAACCATGTGTGAAGAGTGTTCCTTTCTTCCTATTCCTTTTCTTCACTTAAATAATACATTCTCCACCTCATTTCTATGTGTTTTCTATTTTTGCCAACATTTTTTGACATCATAAAATTTCATTTTACTAACAAATAAGCACTATAAGTTTTAATCATCCCTTTCTCTTGAAGAGACTCTTTGAAAATATTTTCTCCGTTTCAATTTGTTTGTCCTATTGTTCTTTTTAATATGTTTCAAAAAGAATGTCTCTTCCCCTTTTGATAATTTTTTAATTTTAACTTTTCACATGATATGTTTAAGACTACAAGAATAAATAATATTTTGGTACATTTTATGTATTTTTAGTTTAAGGCCACAGATTTAAAAGTCTTTTGTACTTTCTTAAACTCTGTATCAAATAAAAACTAGACTAAGAAATTAAAAAGGAGGGAATAATTTATAACTAGTGAATGGGATCTGCTTCGCACAATTATGAAAGAAACCAATAAATTTAGTAATATTCTTTTATAAAAATTGCTCCCGATTGGATATGAGGTTTAAGAAAATCTATTGAAATATATATAATCTAAATAAGTCATAGATACTTATAGGACTATATAACTTATCTCATTAGAAATAAAATAAGAAGTTTAAAATTAGTCAATTTGCAACCTTATGGTTTTGGATTTAGTCTCAATTCTTTCTGATAAGATAAAGTCCATTTAAAAGGACATTCTAGGTATGACATAATAACATAGATCTTTTATAACATTCTACTAATCATTTAGATCAATAAACACTACTCAATTAGCTGTTCAAAAAAAAAATTGGTAGGTAGCAAATATGAAGGCCATAAAATCATAGTAGTACTTCTAACAACAATTAATGATAAAAAAAAAAGAAGAAAAGGACATACTAATCAATCAAGGGACAAATAGAAAGACAAAATTGGAAGAAAAAAAAATGAAAGTTAAATGTAATTGATGGTGGTGGCCAAAAAATTGGCCCACATTAGAAACTTTCTTGAATTATTCTCGAATTCTTTGTTCACATTACAAATTCTACTTTCCCACTTTCCACATATTTTCCTCCTTCATATCCCCCTATCCTTTCTTACTGTTTTTGCAATTCATAAAGAAACCTCTTAGTAGTTACATAGCACCTTCACTTTCTCTCTTTTGTCCTTACTTATTTCTTGAAAAAATTTAGTGATCAATTTGTCATCTTTATATATAATTTTCAGTGATTTTAAATACTCATTTTTATACTTGTTTTCTTGTTTTGAAACATCCCATTTAGTGCTTTGGCTTAACTCTTTCCAATTCACAAAAAAATTGATTCTCTTTTGCATTTTTGTCATTGAGGATTGAATCTTCTTGCTCTTTTGTCATTCAAGATTGAATCTTTTATGCATTTTTGTCACTAAAGATTGAATCTTTTTGGTCTTTTGTCACTGAAGATTGAATGTTTTTGCTCTTTTGTCATTGAAGTTTGAATCTTTTTACATTTTGTCACTAAAGATTGAATCTTTTTGATCTTTTGTCACTAAAGATTGATTCTTTTTGCTATTTTGTCACTAAAGATTGATCCCCAAATGGAGAAAGTTAAAGCTTGGGGTAAAGAAAGTCTAATTACTGAGCTTACTCAAGGTAAAGAGTTTGTAAACCAGTTTGATCCTCTGGCTTCACCAAAGGAATGTGATTTACTTCTTGAGAAAATACTTTCCTCTCTAGACAAATCATTGTCAATTTTGAATTGTGAAGTTCTTAATGGAACAAATGATCCTTTTCCTTTGAGGGATCAAGGCCAAAAAAAGAAAAGGTGAATTAATTTGGTCCTCAATTAAATAATTTTCTATGGTTTCTTGAAATTGAGGTTTTGGATTTTTTTCTAATTTTTTTTTGTTGGATTTGTAGAAAGAAAATGCTGCAATGGAGTAAACAAGTTAGAATATGTGGGACAGAGCTTGAAAGTTTCAATCATGATGATGGTTATAGTTGGAGAAAATATGGGCAGAAAAACATTTTAGGAGCTATTCATCCAAGGTAAAAGAAAAAGAAAAAGAAATCCCTTTTTTTTGTTTGGTTGTTAAACTATTTTCATATTATGACAACCACACTTTTTCACTTTTGTTAGCTAGTGATAGTTTTGAAATTATAGAATATTCAATGCAAGAATGTCCTTAAATTCACAACAATTCAACTTTTGGGCTTGAAGGGTTTCCAAAAATATAGACAACCCTCATGAAAGTATGTTTGCCTATAGAACATGATTAAAGTGTGTTTTTTTGAATAAAATTAAGATTAGTTCTAAGTATTTACTTGGGAGAAGGGGAGCCTGACGTAACTAATAAAGTTATTGTCATGTGATATAAGATAAGTATAGCAGAAGCTTAGTGCACTGAATTATCTGGATTTGTATCTAAGATGAATGTTACATTTGAAATTGCAGGGCTTATTATAGGTGCACTCACAGGAATACACAAAGCTGCTTAGCAACAAAACAAGTTCAAAAATCAGAACAAGATCCTTTAGTCTTTGAAGTGACATATAAAGGAATGCATAGTTGCAAAGCCTCACAATCATCAATATTCCTTTCATATGAAAACCAAAAGCCAAATCAGTGTCAAATAAAGAAACAAAAAGTTGAAAAGTTGAATACTATCAAAGAAGAAAATGTTCCTTTCACTCCACTAAAATGTGAAAGTCAAAATGCCCAATTCTTTGCCAATTCAATAGAGCCATTTACATCAGAATCCATGTACTTGTCATTGTTGCCAAATCAAGAAGAGGAGTTTGAGATGGACAAGATTTTTCAGAGCTCAGAATCGGATCGTATTGTGTTTAGCTCAACGCCAACTTCAATAATTGAATCGCCTTTTTGCAGAGACTGGGATTCATCAGTGGATGATCAACTTGATGTTCATGATCCTAACTTGATGATCGACATTTCTGAATATTTCACCTAATTTAAGAGTAGTAACAACGTCAGGAATTCATAAGATGCCAGAGAGTCACACTTAGGATTTGAACCTCTGACCTAGAATTGGGTCATATCGAGTGTTTTTGTGATCGACACTAACTTGAGAGCCAACTCTTTGGAAAACTCTATTTTTTGTACTATTTTGTTTTTTCTCCTGTGAACTTTTTTTGGCAATGTACTTTACCATAAATTTTGACACCACTTGTTACAAACGATAGAAAAAAAAAAATGTCAAGTGGCTCTAAGATTTGTCTAAAATATATAATGTCATGTCTGTAACAAATTAAAATTTTGATTCAGAAACTAGTTAATTTTGTTCATTGTGGCTATAAAATGCCATTCTTCCTAGCAGAAGTAACACAATCATCAAGTAGCTCCTTCATTCCATATTTGTACACAAAACCTTTTTCAACCAACTTTTTTGATCCCCACTTGATTTCTCTCTTGGGGTCATTCAAGTACCTGAGATTGACAAGTTTAAGGAAAGGAAACTAAAAATCACATTTGACAAAAATATCACATAAGAGGTGGGATGGTCAAGGGTGCGTGTTGAGAATATAATTAAATAGTAAAAGTGTTGCTCTCTCTAACAACTTAAATTTTTAAATGAGATGGTCACACACTTCAACATGGTATCAGAGTGAGCAAAGGTCTTGAGATATCGAATCTCACCGCCACCTATATTAAAAAGAATTCTCACGTGATAGACTCATGAAAAAGACTCAGGTCCGCACATGAAAAGGCCTTAAAAACGAAGAAAATGACTTCCTTAATAGATATATTCTATGCTTATTTTATCCTCCTTACCCACCCAATTCCCCCGACCCTACCCCTTGACCATCCCAAAACCTTTGATTAAGTGTGAAAGGAAACTCAACCATCCCACTACAATCCAAGTCGGTTATCAAGGAAGTAATGTAATGTAGAATGCAAGATTCATAATAACATCTTACTCTTGGTTGACCTTAAACTCTGGATAATTGTGTTGATAGTAATTGCCAATCTCTGCAGTAGAAACAAATGAGCTAGCACACAAGAAACGCCCATTGAGAGAACCAACATTATTCATGAAGAACATATGAGCTTCACACACATCTTCAATATGTACTATTGGAACTTTTCCATTAAGTTCCTCTAAAAACTTGATTATATTGCACAATTTCTCCTCTTGAGTGAACACTGACAAGAACATAGCAGAAGTTGATGGGAAATAAGGCAAAAAAGTGTGTCCACCCACAAGGCCACAACATAACGTAACCACTTCCAAACCTTCCTTCTCAAACTTCAACACCTCTTTCTCAGCTAACATCTTTGACTCTACATAATCCTATAATAATATATAAGAGAATTTAAGTTATATGTACTGATTATGTAAAAGTTATTTACATAACTGTATTCATAATAAATAAAAATTGCACACTTTTGTTTATAACAACTAAATGAGATATAAATGTCATATATTAGTATATATATATATATATATATAGAACAACACCTCATTATAACGACATAATATATAAATATGTCCTTTAACTTGGGGTCATTTCACATTTATACTCTCCAACTTTGGGTGTGCACAAGTTGACACTTAAACTTGTATAAAGTTGAACAAATAGACACACGAGCCCTATTTGGCATAATACACATAAGACACCACGTATGATGAAAATTTCCATGTATGATGTCAAGTAGGACGTTTGTGTATAGTTGTTTAACTTTATACAAGTTTAAGTGTCTACCCGTGCACACTCAAAGTTGGAGAACATAATGTTAGGGTTTTGTCTTGATTTTCTTGCCATATTTGAGTTTTACTTTTTCCTTAAAGAAAAGTCAAAACATTATCATAAATGTTTTTACTTTTCCTGAAAGAAAAATATAATTCTCTTCCATATTTGGTTTATTCTTTCCTTGGATGGAAGATTTGGAACTCTATAAATTGAAGATTCCTCTTCTCATAGGATAATACAATAAATTCCACAATGTAGTCGTTTAAAGACTTTTGTTTATGGAGAGATTTTCTCTCTACATTTTCTATGTTTTTAATTATGTAGGCCAATTGGTCATATCATATAATAATATTATGTCGTTTAGTATAGTTTTATGTGTTGTCTAATTTATCATCTTATGATCTGCAATTGTAAGCTTCTGCATGACGTCCAAATCACTTTCGAACCCAACACATAGATATGAGCTGAGGTCAAGTTAAAGAACATATTTATGTATTATGCCCATTATAACAACCTAGAAACTTTTCAACAAACTTTGTCACTATAGAGAGGTTTGGTTGTATTTATAAATCAAAATAATAAAATAGTGCTAACGCAAATCAAATTTGTCATGTAAATTGAAGTCAAACAGACTACTATTATCCACTTATAATACCACATTTTGCCGAAATCAAATCATATCAAATTAATATAGGATGATAATAATATAATGCAGCATATAGAAAGGTCAATAAATACATTAATTAAGCTCACCCAAAGCCACGGTTGGTTGTAAGGATTTGAGAAATTAAGAGGTGTCCAACATGTTTCATCCATTAATTCTTTGAAAGTAATTCCATCTTCCTTTAATGGGGAGGCAGCTATAATAGAGGCAGTATAAATAAGTCTCTTAACTGTCCCACTTTTAAGGCAAATCCTTCCAATTTTCTTCACTCCATCAACTGTTGCCTCTGTTCTATCTTTGTACTGTTTCATATATTAAGGTCAAGATTACAGATAAAAGAAACAAGATTTATTTAAAAATAAAATTTATATATATGAAACTAAGTAAAAAGTGTTGACCATAACAAATATGAGTATATAATAACATATTATTATAAATCAATTTCATTTGATGATAAAAATAAATAAATTATAATATCAATGCACATAATTCAAACTCAGTTATAATTTGGGATGAGAGGCAGTGATGGATCCAAAATTTTCACCGAATTCAAATAGTATCTACGATTTGAACTTGGAACTCAAGATAAATTCTAAAGCCCTATATATAATTGTTATCGAGTGAACACCCTCGCCCCTCCTAGATCTGATCCTGAAAAGAGGGATTGATGAGTATCATCAGTGGAATTCCATACCTGAGATCCTTCATAATGCAATGAAGGGGTGGCAACATGGAAAACAAATTCACAGCCTTGAATAGCTTCCTCAAATTCCTCAGCTCTATAAATGTCAGCTTCAAATAACTTTAATCTTTCATCTGCACCACTTAAGCTCTTCAATAGTCCCACCTTTGACTCATCCTCTACATTTAAATCAACTTAACTAATCATTTTAAAAAACATCCACACACACACTATGAAAACATACATGGAAAACAGATTTTCATCGAAATACTGGGAAAAAAAAAATCTGTGTAAAAACACTAGTCTTTTTTTTTCTTTTTTTTTTTCTGTTCTCATTGATTCAATCAAAATATCTATGAAAATACCCACTCAACATACCTAAGTTTCTTAGTGTAGCATGAACAATGTAACCTTTGTCCAAAAGTTTTTTAACAAGAGAAGAACCTATGTACCCTGCACCTCCTGTAACACAAACTTTGTAAGTGCTTTTCTCCTCCATTTGTTGGGTCTTTTGCTTTATCTCTTCCTCCTCAGCCATTTCTATAATTGGGATATGATCTTTAAGTGATTGATAAATGGAGCTTGTGGGCTATATAAAACTAGGGGACCCCATATTTTGGTACTATATCTCTATATGGAAATTAAAATCTTAGGTATGTTGACATTGTAATGAAATATTTATAGTACCATGGTCCATGAATGCAACTTAACATGTGTTTATATCTCATTATTATGCTAAGTACCAAAAAATTGAGTATCACCATTCAAATTCATGATACTCTCCCTGTCTCTAATTACTTGTCAATTTTTTCTTTTTTTATATGTCCCTTTTTACTTGTCTATTTTGACAAATCAAGAAAGGACAAATTTTTTTACCTACTATAATTTCAGTTAATTAATTTTGAAAAAGATAGAACTTCTTGAAAATCTTAAATTTTTAATCCATCCACTTCATAATTAATAGGGGTAAAATGGTAAACTCAATATGTCAATTATTATTTTCTTAATAGGTGTGTCAATTCAAAAGTGGATAAATAATTAGGGACAGAGAGAGTATTAAAATTACAAAATATTAAAGTATATTCTATCTTGTCATGTCAACAGGAGCGGACCCACGTGGAGGTTAGGGGATTTGTCGAAAAATTACATTGTATATATAAGGTCTATTTTTTATTTTATGAGTACATTTATTAAAATGAACCCCCTCAAAACAAAAGAGAGGCATGGCTTAGCGGCTAAGGGGTTCAACTTTGAGTCTTTGACCGAGATGTTTGGGGTTCAACTCTCACTTGTAACATTTTCCCACTTGTTTTTTTTTTTTTTTTTGCTTTGAAAGGCTGAATGAGCTCTTGTGTTGGGCTCAAATCCAACTCCATTTCATTGTTTTTGGAAGGCTGAATGGGCTCTGGTTTTGGGCTCAAATCCAACTCAATGAAATGCCTCATTGTTTTTGATTCAATGTAAAACTTTATTATTTTTGTTATCATTATTTTTATCTCTATGCTATTTTTTTTCTCAATTTATCTTTGTTTAAATTTATTAGACATATTTTAGATACTTTTGTCTACTATTCTTCTTATTTATACTTCTCATTTTATTTCTACATAAGTCTCTATGTACTAACGATGAATTATTATAAAATTTGAAATTGATTTACAAAAAATATTATATAAAATAAATTAGATAAAAGTTAATCTAATGAAGAAATTTAAAAGTCGTGAATAATCTTTTAATAAAATCTAATTAATTGATTACCCCCCCCCCCCCTTTAATTTTATAGTATTTCTTTCTTCTTCTTTTTTCAGTTCGATTTTAAAAAGATGAAAACTAAATTAAACTTATTTGTTCTATTTATCATTTGTCTTTTTCACGAATGACTAACCTAGTAAATTGAATTAAAGGAACTAAAATATCGACGATGTCAATTATTTATCTTATGACTATTTATTATAATATCTTAGTGGTTGAATTAAAAAAAATCAAAAAAAAAAAAGAGTAGAACACTGGAATATAAAAGAGAAAAAAAGCACAAGAAATATTTTTAAAAAAAGCTCGATGAAATAGGGTAAAAGTAAAAAAAAACTTAACGCAGCATGACAAGGCAAGTTAAACTTATTGGATTCAGATTACTAGTTTCCTCCTATCTCACTCAGTTTTTCATCTTGTATTTTTACATGTTTTCTTATTTATATTTCGAACCCCCTTCACAGAAATCCTGGATCCGCCACTGCATGTCAACAATCATAA